CATATATTTGAATGAATTCAAAATGATATCAATAATAATTTTAAAAAGCTACAAGAGTATGAACATGATAAGGAAAAAAAGCTATTAATTTGTATCGTAGCTATGCTAAATAGCTGTAAGAGGTTGAAAATAACTTGTCTTAAACGCTATCATACCTCAATTCTATAGCGCTTTCCATAACTCTTAGAATGCTATGTTTTCTTAGGATTTTTAATAGCGTTCGATGTCCTAGTGCTCCATAAAACGCTATTGCTAGTGATTAATAGCGTTTTTTATTAGCTACTGATACTGATATTTGTTGTAGTGTATGTTAGATTTCGGGTTCCTATGTTCTTATGTGATTGGGTTGAAAGTAATAATTGTGATCAAGATGAATTCCTTTTAGTTGGCCTTAATAGATTAGGTCACAAGGATGACCCATTTATTGTGGCAACACTAGCTAAACAAGTGTTCTACAGGAAAGATCTAAAGGCTCCAAAAAAAGTGATCAATTGTTCCTGCATCACAACCAAAAAACTATCATGGCAAAACCTCGAGATGATGATGATGATGGAATGTTGGTTGAGCATGAAACATTTACACGAGTAATGCCTAATTTAGATATAGACAATAACTTAGAGGAGAATGATGGTATTTATACTAGAGAAGATGGTGCGGATATGTGGACTGATAAAAGAGAATTTTAATCACTGATCAATAATTATTTTTTAGGAATTATATATTTTTTTAGAGTAAGAATTACATTATTTTTTTAGGATAATTTTTTTCAATTGATAATTATTTCTTACTCAATAATTATTTTTTAAAAATTATATTTTATTGAATATTGTATTTTATTGAACATTATATTTATTTTGCTCACAGTATTTACATTTTATTTTTCTCAAAAGCACTATTTACGTATTTGATACATCCCATTCTAAAAAAAAAAAAATGAGGTTACATTTTTTGGAAGAGAAAAAAGAGGTTACTTTCAAAAAAAATTAATAAAAAAAGAGAGAATAAAAATAGTCGAATAAATTAAATATAATACGAAATACACGAGTGGCCCCTCATTTCTCTCTCACAATTCGCTCCAAAATAATAAAAAATTTAAACACAATGTCAAATACACAAATGACCCCTAATTTCTCTCTCATAATTCGCTCTCTTTCTATCTCTCCGCCTTTCTCCCTCTATCTCCCTTCCTTGGCACCGTCACTATAATGATTGAGAAAATTCTAGACTTTAAATAATATAATTTATTTATTTAAGCTAAGGATTTTTCTAGAAAATATTATGTTATACTGTGAATGAAGGATTTATGGAATTAATATCTGTATTCCTAAATTCTGTAGTAGATTTCATGTTAAGTTTATGTTTTCGATCGAGTAAATTCGATCGATAAATTATCGCCGTACTTTAAGGCAGAATAATTTTCAGTACAAGTATAGTTTGAGAATCTTAATTTCAAGAATCTCCAAGCACAGCACAATGTTAGCAGCGTATAAAAAAAACGCACTGACATTTTAAAAGAGAAAATCCTTAATTGTCAGACAGCTAGGTTAAAGTCACAAGATAAATACCCATAGTAGTAGGGTACAATGTGAGCTCGGGAGTTGACACCGTCAGAAACAACGCCATTCCCGGGATTTAATGTAGAAAAGTTAAATTTAGAATTTGTTCAGTCTAGAAATAATTTCAAGACTTGAAACAATTCAAGATATTACACGAGTGAGAATTTAATGTGATCTCAAAGCAGTCGAGGATTTAACAGTTGAACTGTAAATTAGCTGTAGAAAAGGAACCGTTAGAAATGGAAATGAATTCCTGTCGGTTAAGTTACTTCCTTATAGTCAGTATAATTTTTATCAGTTTCAAAGGGAAATTGAAGAAAGTGGACAAAAGTACAATGGGGTAGGTGAGATTTTTCTCTCTCTCTTTCTCCACTTGGCCGGCCATGCATAGAAAAATAGAGCCAAAAATTTGGCTAGTGGAGTGTGCTAGAGGATTTTATGTTAAGGTGATGTGATGGTAGTGGTTGAAGGGGAATTAATGGCAAAGTTACTTCCTTTCTCCTTCCAAATCCGGCCATGATTTAGGGGATTGAACAAAAAATTTGGTTGATTGAAGGAGTTGATGTGATGTTAAAAAATGATTTCCAAGTTGTCTATAAAAGGAACCAACATAGGATAAGCTTCATTTTTTTGTCCTAGCTTTTTCCCCACTCAAAAATCCGACCATACCACCCATTTCCTCTCAAATATTTTCTTTCACTCTCCCAATCTTGAGCCACTAGCAAACCATAGAAGAAGAAGAAAGAGATCAAAGGGTCTAGGAGGAGACTAGTCAAGCATTCCTCCAAGGGTAAGGAAACTCTAAACCCTCTCTTTTTATGTT